GTTTCCAGTGATAATCCACCGATTGATTTTCAGAGAGCAGAGATCGTTATCAAATGACGATTAATATTTCCGTGATTTTACAACACGTCATTCCCAATCTCCGGAAGAGAAACGATTTCTATGTCAGAAGTCTCTGAAGCGCACGTATCACGTCGTAGCAGTAACGAAGCTTCCTTTTCTCCGACCGTTTTTGGTTTCCCTTATTAACCGTGACTCGTTAACGGGCACCATTATCGCCCAGCCATGATCGTTATGAAATTGTGTCAATCGCCAAAGGGGCCCGTGCTGTAGGGCGCCATTACGTCGATCACGGGCTAATACTCGCGTGGCCATAAGAGCGCGAGGCGCTGGTGCGGCTGTCTCTACTTCCAAATACGGTTGAAGCACGTACGAACGAACGGCAGGCTGGCGCAACTCCGCCGTCGTGTGTCGAAGAAAGTATTTTTATTCTCGTCCTGCCCCGGGGAGGAGAGAACTCGTCCCGTACGAGCGATCTGTCGCGATGACTCGAGCCTCGAACGTGCGTGTCGTTTTATTGACTTTTATTACTCCACACGACCGAATATCGCATTGACGTGCCGTGCCGCCGCCCGATTTTAGGGCATCCGTCTGTTTCAAATTTATTTACAACATCGCAGTCGATTGGAACACGTTCGGGAGCACGTGGCAAATGATTTCGCGAAATATATGGAAATTAACAAAAAAAACCATTCGTTTATTCTGGTCTCACAACGCGATTAAATAACGACAAGGACGCGACGATGCGCTAGATGAAATTTTACAATTCGTGCGATCGTACAGCTGATGGCAGAGATCGATCCGCAAACGGGCCGGAGCAGAAAAATTGTCGTCTACGATTCCGTAGTGAGACGCAAGTCGATGTCGAGAGTCAACGCACGTAGAAAAAAAAGACCCCCGATGGTCCAAGGAAAAAATGTCCATTCAAAAACGAAATTACGTACATTCACGTGATTCTTTCGGGACGTAACCGACGAGTCCTGCGAGGATCCTCTCGCGTAATGCCGAGCGAAGACCTCGGCGAGCCTGGATCGCGTCGCATTTGACTTGGATTTATTTGGCGGCGAGCCATCGACGCCCGTCAAATTCGGATTGCTGCTCTTGCGCTCCGGGAACACCAAGTGCTCGATGTTCGGCGTATATCCGGGATCGTTCCTGACGATATCCTGGAGCGTCACGCGGCTCGGTCCACCGTTGCTGCAACAATTCACGCGTAATTCCAACCTTCAAAACTGGATTGCAGTTGCCGAAGATGGTGATGAAATGTTTGTATTAAAAAAGTATGCAAGAGTTTATTCAGAGGACATTCCAGTGTTTCAAGACATACGAATTAGTAAACTAAACAGACGTTAACCCTGCATCTATTCATTCGTAATGAATTCTTGACACGAGTTCGTTAATTTTTAAACTGACCTGGACCCGAAACCATGCCTCTGTCCACGTCTCTTCCCGCTGCCACGGCCAGGTTTGATGTTCGACGCCAATTGCAGCAAACGGTGGCTATGCTGCAACTGCGAGTCCTCCCGATGATTCATTCTATCCTGTGCACCTGGAATCTTGTCGCTCCTGCATCCTGTAATCGCCCAAGAAAACAAGACGGTGAATTCACCGAAGGTTCACTTAGGCCTGCTGGGCTCTTTTCGTTTCGCAACTATACTTTTCGCGCGACGAGAACAAAAATTGCTTTATTACTGTGGAGACACGGACAAAAAACTTTTCAGAATAAAGTAACAATTTTTTTTGGAAAGCTTTCAATAAAACTAAAGGGCTAGTAAGAAATCCGAAATTGAAATTAAATTGAAACCACATCAATGTTAATGAACGAAAAACATCAGACAGTTGCCTTAATGATCTGGACATTTATTCAATTCTCAAGTTCAATGCTCAAGATAAAAATCCATAACAAGTGCAATTGAGTGAATTATTTACGTTCGTGGCAGCCCGTGACGTTGACGTTTAATTCAAGCAACTTCATTTCTTTTAATTCAACCGCATTTTTTCCCCCGTCTAGTCACAGGATTCTTGTCGACGCGCGTAGCAAAAGCGGCAAGTTTGCAAAATATGAATTAAAATTTCCACAATAATGTTCACAGCAACGAGCAGCTTAATAAAGCGCGTCTTGCTTGCAGTGTACTACAAGACTTGAAAGAGTAAGGGCTCGCTTTTAATCATTCTTTCCGCAAGAATCGGCCGAGAAGAGGAATTCACCACGGACATACACTGCTTGCGCTGCTCTTCGACTCGTCTCCTCTCTTTTATCTCACTCTGACACGAGAGGAGAAGGCAGGTATATAGCGGAGAGGAGAAAAATGCTCTTTTGCCCTCCACCGTCTGGCCGCCGGTTGCGCGCCTTTAAAAATCTTCTTCCCTCTCGCTTCTCGGAAACTTCGCCGTCCCTTATCGCGCATGTAAAACGTCGTAAATTCATGTTTCTCCGGAGGAATGATTGTTTCCTTTCCCGAGCAAAATATTTTCAACGTTTTCCATTGTTCGAGCAACGCTAAGGCGCGGGATTAGCATCTTTCATATTTGTTTGATATTTTCGTTAAAAAAAATTTTTTTACACTGAGAGTCGGGGAAAGCGACAGTTACGGGAAAAGAGCAAGACGTCTATCGCAATTTTAAGACATTATTAAAATCCTTTAGCTTCTTATGTCTTAGATACTTCAGTGTAACTTACAAATAACCTGTTCGGAATTTCTAATTAAAAATCGAGAAAAGCAGGAGTTTCGAGACATTACAGGACGTCGCAATTTTAAGACGTCGTTAAAATTGTCGGCCTTTGGCTTCTCAGGTTTCGAACACTTTGGTGTAACTTATTAGCGATTCCTTCAGAATTTCTTTCACGAGGATGCCGCACGATTACATTTAACGATCTTAATCTCTCCACGTATACAACTGTTTCTTCTTTTTTTATTACAAATGGCAGCAGCTCCGTCGGACGCCATAAATAGCCGGGGACAAAATCCAATGAATAACCTTACCATTTCTCGCATTTTTTCCAATAGTATCGCGCCTAGCAGAGCGGCAGCTCGAACAGGGCGCATTAAAATATCGACTATCGAAGAAAGTTCGGCGGCGCACGGTCATGAATAGTTAGCCGCAAAAGCAACAATATGCATGCCGGGAAATTTAATATCGGCCAAAATTAATCGACGGGGCGAATATTTCGAATGTTTGTTCTCCATGTTTTAATTTCCATCGGATCGCTCGGCGCTCCCGGTGGGAGGGTGGGACGAATAGGCATCAGAGTTTTCTGAGAAGAACAAACCCGCGGTGAACGTGGAGAATGTCCCGGGATCACCGGATTTTCTTTCAATCGGGGACACTACGGAGGCAGCCGCACGATTGCCGGGAGCCTCGATCTCCAATTGCATCTTGAGATTCATCAATCTTCGGCGTTGCCCGCCGTTCGAGCGGGCGCGTCTACGGCCGACAATTTTTTCCCCCCCCCCGAGTCAAATTCGCCGACGCTTGGATGCTGGACACGCCTCAAACGACGATTTTACTTGCCGGCGATTTAACCTCATTACAAATCGTTTTCCGATTCTATTAAGAGCCGCCGCTCTCTCTTTTGTAACTACCGGATACGCGTTGACGTGTAATCTGTACTTCAGTTCAGCCGGGCTGAATGGAAACTTGGTTTTCTCAGCGGCGTAGCGGGGATTTTTCCCGCGCGGATACACCGGCGACGACTACGCCGAGAAAAATGGATTGTGTCAACAAGACGTGTATGATAGAACGTATTTTGGTTAAACCAAACAGAATTTCTGGTTGTCGCAACAGGGCTCGATATTTCATAACCAGAAGCTTGATAGGCTTCACTACACAAATCCTAAAGGAATTCCGATTCGTCCATTTTCCAGCAGACTGGTTGAGTTTACCAGATTTCTAATTGATGCAACCAGATTTTTCTTCAGTGTACGTTTGCTGAGGTTTAACAACGATTTTTCCTGCCCGGGCTTCGCTGCACTGTAAAACACTTACGTGTAAAATTACAATTACTGTAGCGAGTAAATTTACACCTCGCAGGTAAAATTATTACCTCGTATAATAAGTAAACTGCTTGCTTTTAATTCTGTAAATTTTACAATTTTTTGTAATTTTTCGTCGTGTATGTTTTTTTTGTAAAAGTAGATAAATTTATATATTTCCTTGACAATGTCTGGCAAATTTCAATATTTAAACTCGCAACGTTTCGACCATGGTCGCACGTTCTGCCTTTCGCGAAATTAAGACCTGTTCCGCCGATTTGCCACACTGAAGTTTCGACACAATTATCACTCGAAAAGGACCGCAACCCATGGCCGAAACGTTGTGAGTTTAAACATAAAAATTTGCCAGACATGGCCAAGCAAATCTTTTGAAGTTTTTAATCACCTCTGGGGACTTAGATGACTTCCTCCTGTTAATTTATATATTGCCGTTATTAATAGCGTAGTCGCTACACTAATTATGTAACTTTACATACCTTTTTACAGTGCGTAAAACGCCAAGACAGGACTGGGAATCGAGGATTTTGAAAATCGATCGGCCGCGGCACGGCGAAGCCCGGCGCATGTAACGTTTTCAGATCAGCCGAGCGTGAATTCCGGAAAGCCACTATTTTCCGTTTTCGTTTGATTTATATATATATATATTCCAGAAATTTCGCCAAACGGGATACTTTTCTTTATAATTTCGCTGGAGCAACGTACACGCGCATACGGAGAAGGGAATCTTCGAAAACATAATTTTCAAAGATCGGATTTCGCGCACCGTTGGCGGGCGCCGTTAGTTCCATTCTGCGGGATTCCGTGCGGGGAAATCGCGATGATTCGCGACGTAATGTGCGGCCCATAAAAGTAACGTTTCGTTTCGAGCTATCGTCGCTGGCGACCATTCGGGGGGGGGGAGGGGGAAGGGAA